AAGCGTTGAGAGGCAGTCAGAGAGCTACTAATGAGCCACAAGCAGAGGGGGAGAAAGAGGGAGAACGAGGGAGAGAGGGAAAGAAAGAGGGAGAGAGGGTCTCTCGACCAGGTTTCCTCTCAAGAGTTCTGATTAGATTGTGAGATGAGCTGACACACCTTACAGGAAGGCTGCAGCTCCAAAGACAGAACTCTTCAACCATTCAGTTTTAACATGGAGAATTTGGGATTCCAGGCAAGGGAGGCTCAACCAGTCTTGTCTTATGAATTAACAAGAGCATCACGAGGAATGACTATGTTACTCTAGTGAGGGGTGGGGAATGATTTCCTGTTTCGAAACTCTGATGAGAAGAATCCCTGCAACAATCATTTTGAGATAGATGCAGGTCTGAAGAAGATAGGATATGGAGGAAGGGAAGAAGGCAGGGAAGGAGAGAAGGAAGGAAGGATAGGATGGTGGAATAGAGGAGGACCTAAGAAAACAATCCAAGGGGCCACATCCAGCCCCCCGGGCCTAAGTGCCCGTACCTGGGAGGGTGGGAGGGAAGGAAGAAAGGAAAGACAGGAAGGAGGAAGGATAAGATGGTGAAAGAGAGGAGGACCTGAGAAAAGAGCCCAAGGGGCCACATCTGGCGCCCGGACCTGGGCTTGCCCATACCTTGGATGGATGGAGGGAGGGAGGGAGGGAGGAAGAAAAGAGAGAAGGAAGTAAGGATAGGATGGTGAAAGAGAGGAGAGCCCGAGAAAAGAGCCCAAGGGGCCGCATCCGGCCCCCAGGCCTAGGTTTGCTCATACCTGGGATAGGAGAGGAGGAGGGAGGGAGGAAGGGAGGAGAGAGAAAAGGAAGGATAAGATGGCGAAAGAGAGGAGGGCTTGAGAAAAGAGTCCAAGGGGCCGCATCTGGCCCCCGGGCCTAAGTTTGCCCATACCTGGAATAGAGAGAGGGTGGGAGGGAGGGAAGGAAGGAATGAAGGGCAGGAGGGAGGGAGGGGGGAAAAGAGAGAGAAAAGGAAGGATAAGATGGTGAAAGAGAGGAGGGCTTGAGAAAAGAGCCCAAGGGGCCGCATCCGGCCCCCAGGCCTTGGTTTGCTCATACCTGGGATGGAGGGAAGGAGGGAGAGAGAGAGAGAAGGAGGAAGGAAAGAGAGAAGGAAGGAAGGGTAGGATGGTGAAAGAGAGGAGTGCCTGAGAAAAGAGCCCAAGGGACTGGGTTTGCTCATACCTGGGTTGGATGGATGGAGGGAGTGAGGGAAGGAAAAGAGAAAGGAGGAAGGAAGAAGAAGGAAGGAAGGAAGGAAGGAAGGAAGGAGGAGGAAGGAAGGAAGGAAGGGTAGGATGGTGAAAGAGAGGAGTGCCTGAGAAAAGAGCCCAAGGGGCCGCATCCGACCCCCAGGCCTGGGTTTGCCCATCCCTTGGTGGGAGGGAAGGAGGAAGGAAAGAGAGAAGGAAGGAAGGATAGGATGGGGAGAGAGGGGGGCCTGAGAAAAGAGTCCAAGGGGCCGCATCTGACCCCTGGACTTGAGTTTGCCCATACCTGGGATAGAGGGGGAAATGGATGTACCAGGAGAAAAGATTATCCAACTTTCTGATGTGTTCAAGGTAGAAGCAAAGTGTGAGCCCTTCCCTTTCCAGTTCACATCTCACATCAAATAACATTACCCCAAAGACTTCTTATTCTCACATCACCCCACGGAAGACAGAATGCAATTGTTTTCAGCCAAATGCTTCAATTTTTATCCATATCAGAGATGGAGAGAGAGGGAGAGATTGAGAATCCTTTTAGGGCAGGGATGGGAACTGTTATGCCCTGAGGGTAAGTCCATCCCTTCTTCAGCGCCAGTTTGGGCCTTGTGAGGTTCTCCAGACTGGATATTCCCCATTTGGTAGCCTTCTGGCATTTGTGCTTCTCTTTTCTCCCTTTCAAGAACTCTTGAAATGCTTCTCCAAAGTCTTGAGTTGCTGGATGCATGGGCTTTCAGTCTTTAACAGATGGGTACTTTGGCCCCACTCTTTTGTTTCTGGTTCTGCCCACCCACGAACTGCAAGCCCTGACAGCTTCTTCTTCACCATTGTGTTGAACTTTGGGTTCCAAAGCATTCCTCCCACTTGTGGGTACAGTTAAACACACAGTTTTTACAAAAAACTTGGCACTATTGCTAAATGTCCTTTGACCGGAAGCTGCCTACTTGGAGGTCCTCCATTGTGCATGTGGCGGGGCTTAGGTTGCATTGTAGTTGGTGGTCTGTGGTTTGCTCTTCTCCACACTCGTATGTTGCGGACTCCACTTTGTGGCCCCATTTCTTAAGGATAGCTCTGTATCTCGTAGTGCCAAGCTACAAGAAGAATCCAAGGAAGGAGGAGGAGATGTATCCCCATCAGCAAGAGACACTGCTCACTCCAGAAAATGTGTTGTCGCTATTTCTTCCCCCCATTCTTCTTCCATTCTTCCCCCAGTTCTTATAAAACTGTTCTGGCTTATATAGGATGGATGAATGAAAGACCTTTGGATGCCTGTGAGAAAGCATCTGCCCTTCGCCTAGGCTTCCGTTGGTATCCATACTGCGACAAAGCAGGTGAGACCCGCAGGGGGACGGCCAAGGCGGAAAGACGCACGGGAAAGAGCAAGCAAAGGGTTAAGAGCGCACCACTCTATAAACAACGAGGTGAGGCTACAATGACGTGCCCCAAAGCATTGTCCCGCAATGCTAGTTGTTGTTTAGTCGTGATGGTCTCATGCTTTGGGTTGGAATCTGCGAAGGGAACATACCAAATGGAAGGTCGCTGTTGTGTCCGCAAACTCTCCTTGTCCCTCTCCTTTCCTCTTCTCAATCTTTTCCCACTTGCCACCCGTTTCCATAAATGTTTTATGCAATTCTGGGTATATAAGTATAAAAATTAAACATTTACTGATAATAATAGCATTTGCAAAGCCTCCTAAACAGGCTGATTTCCTTTTTTAATGAAGTACGGCTGAAGCATTTTCTGCAGAGTTCACTGTAAACAGATTTGTGTAAATACCTACAACAGCCACTAGATGGCATTCAGAAACCTTTTACTGTTGTCTTTTCTTTTGCGACTCAACACTAAGTCAGGACCCACAGTTTAAATATGGTGGCGCAGTGGGTTAAACCGCTGAGCTGCTGAACTTGCTGACCGAAAGGTTGGTGGTTCGAATCCAGGGAGCGGGTGAGCTCCCACTGTTAGGCCCAGCTTCTGCCAACCTAGCAGTTCGAAAACATGCAAATGTGAGTAGATCAATAGGTCCGCTCGGGTGGGAAGGTACTTCAGGCATGTGGCGGGGGGGGGGGGGGGCTCGGGGGGCTTCAGCCCCCCCCCCCCGAAATTCTCATGGTGGTTCGCGAAAAGGCCTTACTGGTGCATTATTTAAACTGTTATGTTTATTCATATCATGATCTGATCACCATACTCAATATATCCCATATGCATGGGGGTATTGGGGTAATGATACAAAGATTTTGTTAGGGTAGACCCTCTTTCACTCAGACTCACCCCCCCCCAAACTCAGCCCCCCCCGAAACCCCCCCTGAAAAAAATTCAGCCCCCCCCCCCGAAACGAAATCCTGGCTACGGGCCTGTGGTGCTTCATGCAGTCATGTTGACCACATGACCTTGAAGGTGTCTATGGACAACACTGGCTCTTCGGCTTAGAAACGGAGATGAGCGCCAACCCCCAGAGTCGGAGAGGACTAGACTTAATATCAGGGGAAACCTTTACCTTTTAGACACCATGCTCCTGTTCATGCAGCCTAGAATTGCATAAGGGTTTTAAGCTGCTGCATCACACAGTTGACACTTCGCTCCATAGAGTGTCATTCTGTAGAACTGCATTTCTCAACCTGGGGGTTGGGACCCCTGAGTGGGTTGTGACGGGGGGTGTCAGATGGGTTGTCAAAGACCAAAGAAAACAGTATTTTCTGTTGGTCATGGGGGTTCTGTGTGGGACGTTTTGCTCAATTCTATCATTGGTGGATTCAGAATGCTCTTTGATTGTTGGTGAACTATAAATCCCAGTAACTACAACTCCCAAATGTCAAGATCTATTTTCCCCAAACTCCACCAGTGTTCACATTTGGGCATATCGAGTATCCGTGCCAAGTTTGGTCCAGATCTGCCATTGTTTGAGTCCAGAGTACTGTGTTCCCTCGCTGTTTCGCGGTTCGCTTCGCGCGGACTCGCTGTTTCGCGGGTTTTTGAAAATATTGATATAAAGTATAAAATATTTATGCCCAGTGGAGGCCAGGGATCCTGGAAGCAGCCTGAGGCGCGGTGGGGAAGGTCTATCTCTCTGGCCTGTTGCTTCCTGCGTGTCTCCGGAGGCTTTTCCGGAGTCTGCGGAGGTCAGGGAGGCAGGATGGGCCGGGAGGCGGGTAAGGAAACGTGGGTAAGAAAATAATATATAAAATATATAAAATAATGTATAAATATTAAAATTAATATAGCGTCCCTACTTCACGGATTTGCACTTGGTCCTGGAACGGAAACCCCCGCGATAAGTGGGTGAACACTGTACTCTCTGGATGTAGGTGAACTACAACTCCCAAAATTCAATTTCAATGCCCACCAAACCCTTCTAGTGCTTTCTGTTGGTCATGAAAGTCCTGTGTGCCAAGTTTGGTTCCATTCCATCGTTGGTGGGGTTCCGAATGCTCTTTGATTGTAGGTGAGCTATATATCCCACCAACTACAAATCCCAAATGACGAAATCATCCCCCCAAAACCCCACCCGTATGTAAATAAATAAATACAAAGAACCCAAAGGTATTTCTGGTTTATCCCAAAGAACACAGGCATGCCTGAAAACGAGGTCAAAACTGCAGAATTTTCACCGTTTTCTGCGAGATCGGTTTACCTGAGTGTTAGAAAATCCAGGAATAGGTACCTCCCATTGCTACCAATATTCCCATTGTTACCATATTTCAGCCAGGAATGAGCTTCTTCCCATTGCTACCAGTAAGTGCCTCATGTTTTCTTGCCTTGTAGATTCTCATAAGTGCGTAACCAGCAAGAAGGAGAAGCCCGTGCAAATGCTTGAAAACCAAATGCCGGAAGACGTGAAAGCACAAAAGCAAAGGAGTAGGCATCCTGGTTTGGGTTTCCCTCTCTGCCCCTCTTTCCGTAGGATCCTCGTTGACACTGATATTGAAGCCATGAAAGTTAAACTGGGATCACAGCTCCAAAAGTGTGTAGTGTGAAATGAATGCCACTGATCTCGCAAAACCCCCTTATAGTGCCGAGGCAACGGGGATGTCAAGAGGGGAGAGGCTTGTTGGGCACAACAGAGTAACTTATCAGCAGAAGCGTGACCCAACACCAGTAGCCCAAAGTGATAAAAAGAACAAAAACGACCAATATTATATCTTCTATAGTAAGCTTTTATTTATTGCACTATTTACAAGAACAAGGTTTCAATAACACAAATAAAGTTCTTTATACTTCCTTCTTTGCTTCCACGCTGGGCTTCTTTCTCATGCAGATAAACAACTTTGCTCTCGGAGAGCCTCTTCTCACTCCAAACTTACCCAGGAGCTTCACGCAGTAGCTTTTAACACAGCAAATCACACCAGGGCCTTCTCACACACTGAGGCCTACCTCACACTGAGACCCTTCTCGCACTAAGGCTTTCTCACACTGAGGGCTCTCTTGAACTGACACCTCTCTCGCACTGAGGCAAATTGAACTAACACTGAGTCCTTCTCATACTGAGGCCTACCTCACACTGAGACCTTTCTCCCACTGAGGCTTTCTCACATTGACGCTTTCTCACAATGAGGACTCTCTCGAACTGACACCTCTCTCACACTGAGGCAAACTGAACTAACACTAAGGCCTTCTCATACTGAGGCCTACTAATATTGAGGCCTACCTCACACTGAGACCTTTTTCCTACTGAGGCTTTCTCACACTGACACCTCTCTCACACTGAGGCAAACTGAACTAACACTGAGTCCTTCTCATACTGAGGCCTACTAATATTGAGGCCTACCTCACACTGAGACCTTTTTCCTACTGAGTCTTTCTCACACTGAGGGCTTTCTCGAACTGACACCTCTCTCACACTGAGGCAAACTGAACTAACACTGAGTCCTTCTCATACTGAGGCCTACCTCACACTGAGACCTTTCTCCCACTGAGGCTTTCTCACACTGAGGGCTCTCTCAGACTGACACCTCTCTCACACTGAGGCAAACTGAACTAACACTGAGGCCTTCTCATACCGAGGCCTACTAACACTGAGGCCTACCTTTCACTGAGACCTTTTTCCCACGGAGTCTTTCTCACATTGAGGGCTCTCTTGAACTAACACCTCTCTTACACTGAGGCATACTGAACGAACACCGAGACCTTCTCATACTGAGACCTACTAACACTGGGGCCTACCTCACACTGAGACCTTTCTCCCACTGAGGGCTCTCTCGAACTGACACCTCTCTCACACTATGGCAAACTGAACGAACACTGAGGCTTTCTCATACTGAGGCCTACTGACACACTGAGGCCCATCTCCCATCTCCCATAAAGACCTCTTACAGACCTAGGGCTGCTAAACTACCTGCTTACATTGAACTGCAGCTTTTGCTAAGTCATTGTATCCTTTTAACAATTTCAATGCTTATGCCTTGCCGAGCAGGGCAGTAGCAGAATTCTCAGTCATGGGATCCTGTGTCTCGCCAAACTACAGATCTCTGGCTTCCGTTGAAGTAGCAAAAGCAGTTAAAGTGGATTCAAAGTGCTTTAAGTTATGTAATGTGAATGGCCCCAAGATGCTGTAGGTATCTCCACTAGCTTCTTTGTTTCTCGCTACTCCAGCGACGAATCCCTCCCAACGAAAGCCAGAGTCATTCTTCCAACAAAGATCTTGGATATGAGAGCTGGACGCTTTGACCCAGCTTTCAGAGCCTCCCAAACCAATTAGTTCCCAGCCTAACGGAGCCAGCCGCTTCATCTTTAAGGTCACCAGGTTGCCCCTTGCGTCATTAATTGGCACAGGCACTCATTTCCAGAAGAGCGGGACCTCTCTTCCATCTCTGTGAAACTCAATTGGCTTCGTAGAGCGAGCAGAGCCAGAGCGGGGAAATGATCCGAGTCACAAGGGAGGAGTTGTATGAGTTGATTATTTCAGGGTCGGCCCAAGGATTTAAGGTGGGTTTTGGGGGGCACCACTAACCCTTTGCTTTCCTTTGCTCTTCTAGGCAATCACAACTTAGCTGAAGGGGAGCCAACAAGTGAAACCAAACCCAAAGTGCCCAAAACGCTAGCCAAACCAACACTCCGAATGAGTCACCAAGAGGAGAAGAAGCCAGAAGAAGTCCTCGGATCAGGCCCTTTCTTTTATATCGGAGGAGCTAACGGGGTGGATATGTAAGGATGTCCAGAATCACCTTCCACTCCTGTTTCTTTCAGTTTTCTCAGTGTAATTAAAAATCCCAGATGGTGAAGCTGGGAGACGCCTGCTCGGACCCCTGGCCTTTGACCTGTGGGGTCCCGCAAGGTTCTATTCTGTCTCCCATGCTTTTTAACATCTACATGAAACCGCTGGGAGAGGTCATCCGGAGTTTTGGAGTTGGGTGCCACCTCTATGCAGATGACACACAACTCTACTACTCCTTTCCACCCAATTCCAAGGAGGCCTCTCAGGTCCTGGACGAGTGCCTGGCCGCTGTGTCTATCTGGATGAGGAGGAACAAGCTGAAGATCAATCCCGACAAGACAGAAGTCCTCCTGGTCGATCGCAAACCAGATCGGGGTATAGGGTGGCAACCTGTGCTGGACGGGGTTACACTTCCCCTGAAGTCACAGGTCCACAGTTTGGGTGTCTTCCAGGACTCATCACTTACACTCGAAGCTCAGGCGTCGGCGGTGGCCGGGAGGGCTTTCGCACAATTGAGACTCGTGTGCCAACTGTGACTGTACCTCGCGAAGGCTGATCTGGCCGGGGTAGTCCATGCCTTGGTCACCTCTAGGTTGGATTACTGTAATGCGCTCTATGTGGGGCTGCCCTTGAAAACGGCTCAGAGATTCCAACTGGTCCAACGGGTAGCGGCCAGGATGTTAACTGGCGCTCCTTACAGAGAGAGGTCAACCCTCCTGTTCAAGGAGCTCCACTGGCTGCCGTTTATTTACCGAGCCCAATTTAAGGTGCAGGTGCTTACCTACAAAGCCCTGAACGGTTTGGGACCAGCCTACCTGCGTGACCGCATCTCCGTCTACAAACCCACGCATTCACTTCGTTCATCTGGAGGAGCCCTGCTCGTGATTCCGCCTGCGTCGCAAGCGCGTTTGGTGGGGACACGAGACACGGCCTTTTCCGTGGTGGCCCCCCGACACTGGAACACCCTCCCCAAAGATCTTAGACAGGCCCCTACATTGGCAGTCTTTAGAAAGAACTTGAAGACCTGGCTGTTCCAATGTGCCTTCCCTGAATAGGAAATCCCCAATACCAAGTCCCAGAAGCACTTTATTAGAACTAAGATTGCTTCACACCGCA